CATTCCCAAAAAGCGGGAGGGGGGGGGGGAATTATTAATAATACAATTAACAATATTAACATGCTCTTATGCACAGTAGAATAAAATAATGGGCTGATTTATCAATGTCATGCTCATTCTGTGCAGGAACAACATATGGGGAACTGCTGCTTTTTCTTTCCTCATCCTTACATTTGTCATTTTTCCTCTACACATGTACTTCTTTGGTATGTTTGTCACTCTTTTGTTAACTGCTATTTCCGGGGTGCCTTGATAATGGAAGCAGATTTTGTGCTGTTGAGGCTAGAGAGGTAAGCAGAATAAACCAGATTCCCCGTTTGGGACGTCTCTGTTAACATCCAGCCCTTGGCGCTCATATGATATTATGCAGTTGCGAGCGCCGTAAAACCCCTACTAAAACAAACAACAACATCAACAACTGAAAGCAAAACACTGATTAGGTGCTAGTATAACAGTCTTTATTCTTCAGAGAACATTTACATATATTCATAGCCAGCAACTGTCTAACTCTCATAGTGAAATGAAACATTCAAACCTAAGGAGTCTCAAACAATATTCCTTTCCGCACAAAAACCTTTTTTTATATCTCACATTTTGATAAAAATATTTAGAGAGGACAGATATGAAAATAGGTAAAAATTTCCAAAGTACACCTCTGGGAAACCTGTCCCACCCTTACGGTTCTTCAAGGGAACAGATCTATTAGAACTGGCTATATATTAAAATCTGATGATGTCTGCATCATTTTGCTCTCTACCCCAAGTTGGCTGACAAACAGCAATTAATACTTCCAAGTATTGTAATGATAAGTATGAGACAAATTCTAATTCATTCACTTTATCCAAAGGTTACCATCCAAGGCAGGTCTCAACAGTCAGCCACTAACTCGACAGACCTCAAAGGATAACATACCAGACTGTGCGCAAACAGAACTCATTCTTGATCCCAGAAAGTTTGTTACTTATAAGTTCTGGCTATGCCCTTTAAAAAAAAAATGTATATTCTTACTTCACACACAAGTCACGAGCTATAGATCTAGACCTGAAAAGTCAACAAAGCTAAAATACCCACAAAAACAATCATAAATCAAATACTCACTTTCAAATACAAGAAATGGATTTGCAGTTACATTTTTCACAGTGTTATTATGACAGACAAAGCCAGATTTTTTACAGGGTGGAGCTAAAGTCACTTTCCAGTTACAGGTCAGATAACACTAAAGGAAAAAGAGTGAATTTTTTTGCTTGAGATACTGTTCATGTGCGAGGCTACACAAACATAATATATATACACATGAGTATTTAGCTTATGGGCCTGGGACATAATATATATACACATGAGTATTTAGCTTATGGGCCTGGGAACTAATTTTAAATACAAAAACAGTAGAACAGATGTTACGGGATGGGAAGTTTGACATGACTGTTACTAGGTTCACCCACGTTGGTTCACTCCTCACAAGAGAATTCAAAGGTTAGTTTGTTGATGTCATTGCAGCATCATACTTTTCCTCTCAATGTTACGGTAAACATTGTGGGAATGCCTTCCACTTTCAGCTACATAGAATCAAATTAATTTTGACATTTGATATGGAAAGTGATTTTTGCACCACCCTGAACCAAAGAGGCCATTCAAAATAAAAAGGATTGGGAGGGGGGGGGGAGAGAAAAAAACGCCATGGTGTGATGTATAAACTATCGAGATGAACACAGACGAAAAACTGTAAGTAAACGTTGGATAGACTTCATTTCACATAAAATCAAATCCAATTATTTATGCTTTATTACAAATAATCACAGATCATAGAGCCTGATATGTTTCTGGCCAGAGAACAGGACCGTTCAGGGTCAGAGCATTGCTCCAAGTAAAATAGTTTATACACAATTAAAAGAACAGATGAACACACTTCTAACAAGCAAAACAGTGACCTATTCATGATCACCACTGAAAATTGGCGTATCCTTTTTTTTAAAAACACGGAACACTTTACAGAGAGAAAATCAAGGTATTCCACTGAATATGAGAAAAGATCTTTCTCCAATTGCTAAAACAAAGAAGAGTTGATGCAGTTTTCACAAAAATTATTTTCTCACCTTGAACAATACTTGTGACTAAAGAGCAAAAAGAAATATGTGTCATGACGCGCTGGAATCAGTGGCTCGTCAGTTTTTGGGCATATGGGGTTATTGTTATCATCTTAAAGCCTGTTCATTTGACTTCCTTTTGGTGAAAAAAATATCCATCTGTGTGGAATTGAAGTCTAGATATTTGCGATTGAAGGAGGTCAGGGTCGCCGGATTTCGGAGGTAAAATTAGTGAGAAAATGGCCGCCAAGTTCGGTAACTTCCATGGCCTGAGAGTCGTTCTTGGAAACTGAAAATTTACATTTTTGTGCCTTTAAAAATGTTTTTCAGTAAAAATCCACACAAAATTGTATTTTTAAATGGATGGAAAAGGTGTTCAGTCCAAAAAAAAAAGAAAAATTGCCCATCGGCCAAAAAAATGCAGACTTCTTCAATTTCATTATTTGACGAGTGCCTGATTTCACTGTGATGCCTCACATGTACAGTCTCTTAAAGGAAACACATTGGTTTGTACTAAATAAAAGAACCATGTAATTCCATAAACTTGTGCTTTGTGATTATGTCACTAATGCAATACTTGACATAAATACTTTTACAAGAACACATCATTCAGATGCAGAAACATTAGGTGATCTGAGAGGTGAATACTTAAAACACATTAAGTCTCTATCACTTTTGTAGTCAACTTCACTCAACAGCTGTCAAAAACACAGTAGACACTGAAGAAACACAAGGAGTCTATGAGACTGTCTTGAGCTAGAAGGTTGTGATGAGATCAGATCTTCCCCCAGATATAATACTGCATGAAATCCAGATTCCTTGACATTAAACATTCATATCCTTGCCCTCAAAAGAATGAGGCCACTCACAGGATCCTAAAGGTTAAAAGAGGGTATGAACAACACATACACACAACTCTAAAGGTGACTAAATCAAGCAAAACAATAGCTACTGCCAAAGTAAACAGTTTTTGATTTGTTTAGAAAAACAAACATTTGAGAAATAAGACGTTTCCTAGTGTCAAGCTGGTGTACTGTGGGGTACTGTGTAAAAGTAAAACACCTAGCTCTTACTTCCATTCAAGCAGAGGAGGGTCTATGGTTTGTTTCACAAGTTATGCTATATCACTTAACTCAATCTCAAGCCACATAAACATTCTCTGCACAAAAGTAATACACTAAGCACAGTAATATCAACTATCAGAAAATTATTGAAAACGTCAGGGAAAAAGAAAATGAACAGCCAAAGACAGTAACTGTAAAATTCCTCAATATACCACAGCCAAGTGTATCCAGCAGGTTACACTCTATTCAGATATTATGCGGGAAAATGATCTTTACCATTAGAAAAGAAAAAAAAAATGTTTATTTGGAAGACCACCATAAAAATTTCATGCAACTTTTGCACAGTTTGAAACCTAAACTAATCTCAAATATTTATCACCGCGTTTCTTTTATCAATTGAGCATTTGAAAGTTTACTTCATTAGAAGAGTGACAGGCAGACATTTTTCCATGATTCCATACCTTTTTCCACTAACTTCAGATGATACTTCTCAATGGTTTCACAACAACGTACATGTCTCACTCATCGCAATCGAAAACAAGCTTGGAAATGAACAAAGATCTTAAACCAAATTTTATGGCAACAACTATCATCAACATGAGTATGCTAAGGTGCACATATCTGTGCATTGCTTACAAGTAACAACACACGCAAAACCTAATGAGCTGCATGCACCTCACAGCAGTCATCACATTAGCTAAACCAGTTGCTGCACAACATCATCTATTCACTCTCTTTTTTTTTCTTTAGTAGATCTGTAAATGACACAACATCTGACCAAACAATATATGGCATTAGACAAGGGGGTGGGATTGGGGTGGAGAGGGGTGTAGTGAGAGGAGACAGGAACACGGGAACAAAAAAGAGGAAACATTTTCCAATTTTCCCATTTCCACTACAAAATGGCCAGCAGTAATAAAGGGCCTCCATAGATGTTTACACAATATACTATTTCCAAACTCACAAACACACTTCTATTTCCAAACTCACAAACACACTTCTATTTCCAAACCAACAAACACACTTCTATTTCCAAACCCATAAACACACACGGTAAAGATGAAAGACATCCCCAGCATAAAGGCAGACAGCCATGTATGCATAAATTAACCTCTTGATGCGAAAAAAAAATCTTCACCAAATCATGCTGACACAGAAAAAAAAAATTCTAGTTCACATCTAATTGTAAGAGGAAACAAAATCCCCAAGAAATCAGCTAATCTAAACGCAAAAAAAACAACAACCTGCCCTTTGCAGAGCTACAAAAACATTTGTCATAATGCATATTTTCATTTGGCTCTACTAATTTGCAAAAACTTGGGAGTAGCCTACTGTTTTCAAACAACAAAAATGTTACAAACAAAATAAAACAACCCAAGAGCAACGTAACTACTGTTCAAAACCCTAAGTACAATTTATGATCTACACTCAATAGCAACACTCATTTTGGCCTGATGTTCACGAGCATACACAAAATAAGGGAGTGTAAGCATCATAAACATAACACATAACCGAAACAATTGCAAAGCAAGCAACCCTGAAAGCTTTTCGTTAAAATTTTTCGGTAGTTTTGTTTGATTTTGTAAGCCAGTCTATTCATTATCTCATGTCCCTCTGGCAAAATTTTATATCTGAAAAACAGAAATGCAGGTAGCAATTTCCACTCATAACAATTAATCTTTATTTGAAACAAAGCTGAAACAAAAGATGCAATGCTGAAAAACAACTGGTCTAATGTAAATACATGAAGGGCTAATTTCACACTCTTTATACACTGAGGTGATCACAGTCCAATCCAAGAGCCCTGCATAATCTCTTCACAAAAGCAGACAACAGAAACAAACCACACAGGGAAAGCCTTTCTACATTTCATAATAACCCTCCTTCACAGAAGGCTTCAAATACAATACAAAATATCATCTTCAGAACCACAATGAATGCAATCAAGGGAACAGTTATCTACTCCCTCAGCAAGACAGCTGTTCGGCTTTTACAGTACAACATTTTAGCAAAGAAAAATGACAAAAATTTACCTGCTCAGCAAGATGGAAAAGGCAATCATTTCAAAACTGAAAATAAAATCCTTCTGACATTAGTTGACTCAGTTTAATACTATAGCCCTGTTGCAAACAGATCTAAGATGGAGGCCAGTTCAGTTGCCATTACAGTACCCAAAGGCAGATCCCAGACTAGGAAAGAATAAGAAAGAAAACACTTCCCGTGCACGAAAGTACAGGGAAGCAACTGATAAAAAACAAAAAGTAATCGCTTCTCAATTCTGAGGACGCTACGGTAAGGGTGATTAAGCAGTCAATCTAAAACGACCACAAATCATTCTAAAACAAGATCAAATAATCATTAAAAAAAAATTAAAATTAAAAATGCTAACATTTTTTTAATGAGCTAGGTTTACTGCTTGAGACGGGGGACATATTCAAAGAAGTCGTTCAGTAAAGAGGAACGGCAAAGTCAGGAGAGACGCAGAGAAAAAAGCAAATTGAGAAGAATTTGCTAACAGTCTACAAAATAATAGGATGTAATTTTTGGAGCTCGACAAAGTGCATCAAAAGAAGAGAGTGTCAGCCTTACACCCACAAAGCAGGACATATACAGTAAGATTAATAAAAAACATTCAGGAAAATCAGCAGACTTTCGTGACGTCAGAATATTTGGCAGTCTAAAAACGTACTTGAACTACTCCTCAAAAATCTGAATGTAAGTGAATCAATTCTGTGAAATAGAAAAAAAAGAAATAAACAAATATGAGTCTGTTAAGGAAGAAAGGCTGGACCATGTGTGGAAGGTCTGCGTCCGTTCCAACAACAGCACCAACGGCGAGGAGGAAGTACCAATTACAATCCACCGCCTGATGAGTTGTCCTTGAGCACAAAGCGACGATAGGCCTTGTTCATCTGTTCCAGGAAGATGAATGTGAGGACGGTGTGGGGCCCCAGTCGGGCGTAGTACGGCGTGAAGCCCTTCCACAGGCTGAAAAAGCCTTCGTTGCGGATCACTTTCGTCAGTACGTCCTGCAAGGAGAGGAACAGATTTTAAAAATGTAAAAGTTTCAGTCATGGGATATACTTTAGCTATGAATTTGGTTACATTCAGGCCGTTCACTGACCAAATGCAATTAACAGCAAATTTTAAAGAACCCTCACTCTTTAAGGCAATCTGCGGGAGAGATTATCCCTATTTTTACCCAGTTTGACCATACATTTCCCCCCTCCATTTTTGAAACCTACATCCATTTCTTTTAAAGTTTCGAGCACCCGCTTCAATCAATTATGTTTAGAAGTCTTTTAAAAATGAGTTTTAAAAAACTATTTTGCAATTTTGGGTCTTGTTTTTTTATATTTTCTTCATTTTTTTCAAATGTTTTTTTCCGACTTTAAATTACATCTCCTTTATTTTCCATCTGAATAGCTTCATTATTTTACACATTGTCCGTCCATAGGTGACCTGTAGTGAACTGTAGTGAAATAGAGCCCTTTTTGAAGAAAATAAAAGATTAAATTACAAACAGTGCCTTTGCTGGGAATTTTTTTATTTTTTTTACTATTTAACCACGTACATATTTCCAGAGTCCATAATTATTTTCATAATCATAATATTACAAATCTGGCGTTCTTTGAGCTTTACGTAGGTGTTGTAGTTTGTACTTGCTAAAAATGAAAGCAAACAGACGAAAACTAAGAGAGAAGATAGCTTTTGAAATTTGATGAAATTATCCAAAATGGCGGATGTTAGCTTGGTTACCACGGTTACCATGATAAATATTTATTAGAATTTATTCTTTGATGTCTGACTAATAAAAATATATCTTTGTTGCTATATATAGTCAAAGGATATGGATTTTAGAAATTCCACAAGCAGTTGGCCTTATAAATAAGAAACCCGTAAACAACAATTTCCCTTACAGACACAAGCAACCATAATATAAAATGAAAACACATATAAAAAACCATAACAAATATAACAGAGTGGCCTACATGAGAATCAGTTATAAAATTCACAGCAAATATGGTACATTTTAAAAACTTGTATACATGGGGCTACTGGTACAACCTTACTCCAAGGATGATCATAAACTTCTAGACAGCCTTTCCTCCATCATACTACATTAGCATCCATTGAAAGAAAATGATGCATTTATGTGAATTGCATCTGTTAACAACGTTTTGATAACTTTCTTCAAAATATTAACAGCTTCCTAGCATAATGCATTCAAAATTGTCTAAGACAGCCACCCATTATCGAGGAGTTAAGTGGTTGTCTAACACAGGTGAACATCTTGGACAGTGTTATAATATTCTTTAGAAAACGTAAGGGAGAGAAGTAGGAACTGGTCCTTTGTACAGGTGGTTGTGTTTGACAAGTGGTTGTTCGACTGTACTTTAATTCAGTATCCCATTAGAGCAAATCTCCAGATATAATGAATTTGTGAGGTGTTGGGGTTTGTAAAAAGAAACAACAAATCCTCAAATTAATTCAGAACTGTAAAAAGGAAAGAGGTAAGGTGGTTTATGTATCTAAATCAATTGAAAATATTTTTAACAGAAAACAAAACAAAAAAAATATATTCCAAGAAATGGATCTTACCACAGCCCCCTTGTATTCTGGTTTGCCATCTATCATCTTCATGTTCTGTATTCTGTGGACACAGAGAATGTTGCAAGGGCTTGAAAAAATAAGTGTGTGGATGGGCACCTAATCAGGAAAAAAAACCTCTTCAGGATCTATAACAAAGTAAAAGCAGAGACAAAAACACAGGAAGGTGCAAGAACTTTGAAAATGAAACAATGTGTTATGACTACATGGTCTCAAAAAATAATTTTTTTAATAATTGAAAATTACATTTCAGACACAGCAATGGTACGGTTAAAGTTAGATTTGTGTGGAAGGAAAAGCCAACATGAAGCAGGCTACTCTAAGGTATCGAATAAGCCCCCCCCCCTCCATTCATTTTCAGTTTTTTTGCGCACCCCCCACTCCTTATTCCAAACCCATCCTTTATTATTTTCCAGCTTGCCACGACCGACGATCATGTGAAACATTATAACTAGAATCTAGATATCTAGATCTAGGCTTTTGTTGCATAGCCCTGAAGCCGCCTGAATCGATCCAAAACCTACTTTATCACGATGCCCGACCGCATACTAGATCTAGTACTGGTAGATCGAGGCCTACTCTCGGCGTGACCAGCTCAACACTGGCTGTGGGGTTTCCACAAGCTGGCTAAACTACACAGTCCAAAAGGAAGGGCAGAAAGTGCTGGTTTGCAAAATAAAGATTCAAAATCTGATATATTTTACAAATCTAAACCATGTCCATGTCCTAATTGCATTTAAATATGAAAATAGTGCAAGAAAAAGCCAAACTTCTATTAATAAATAAAAAAAACTTTTGAGCATTGGTTTATATGTTTTAATGAAACTGGTTTGTTCCTAAATGGGAAAAGTTGTCACAGTAACTTACTAAAATCACAAAAATTTCATGATCTCTTTTTCTTTTATTCACTGTAGGAGAAATAAAACAGATTTGTTCCCACTAGAACAGAGGTATGAGGTTGAATGTGCCATCCCCTGTTTTATTAATTTTAGACCATTTGTCCACCCCCGCCCCCTTTTATTCGATACCTTAGAGTATTACGCAGACCAGTTAATCTTTACTTATTGGATTTATTTATTCAATAAACAATTTATCACCTTTCAATGAGCATAATTCACAGCGCCACTTTTCGCCCGATTCTGTTACTTTTAGTTCGCGTGACTCAGCAGCCCGCCGGAGCTCCCCGGCTCGGGGTCACGGGGTTAATGAGCCCTGAAGCGACTTTGCCGCTGTCGGTCAGGAAGTTCGCATTTTTGTCTATGTTTAAAACGATATAACATCTTCCCCATCTCACATAGCAAACAATTACGCCGATGTACTAAACGCTCAAAGTCTTGAGATTTATTCTGCCTTAGAATGGTTCGTTTCTGTGCCTTAGTTTTTGTTCTAGAGAAGTGTTTGTAGAGTACCCAATTTGTCCTATTTTAGTTACAAACTTATGAATAAATGATTGTTAATTTAAAAAAGGCACGACAGATCTCTCCAAAATCTGTGTTAAACTGACTACGAATATCATGTCTTTTACCATGAGAAATCTTAAATCTGCGCGAGTAGTAATAGTCAAGTTATAAGAGAAGAAAGATGCAGATCTGCATTTTTTAACTAAAAACGATCAGCGTTAGCTCTTATTTTACTATTAAACAAGAGAAAGTTACTCTGCGTTTGTTCATGAATCATGCTGTGTCTGTGGCAGCCTGCATACAACTAAAAAGATATAAGTGATTTAAAAAACCACAAAACCGTGTAAATATATGGGTAGAGATAAACTTCTTGTATGGAATAAAAATAGTGACAGCTAACACATTCATTTTTAGTTTTTGTGTCGGAAATATGCGCGGACACAATTATGAATGTAAAGAAATCAGTCACATTGTCAGTTATTTCAAATGGTCATAGAAACGAAAAAAAAGCTGGAAAAGTCTGGTGCTAATTCAGTGTCCCTGGAAAGCTAGAAATTATTCTTATAACCCAATTACGAGAAGTCATCCTTATTATTCAGTCAACTTACAAAATCTAGACTTAGCGTTTTAAGAAAAGTAAGGAATTTCTGGAGTGTAACAGATACTGTTCGTGTATTAGATCTACGTTGAAGATGTATTCTAGCACTAAAATCGATTTGTACTTTTCATAGAGAAACTTCATGGTAACTTTTATAAACTTTCGAGAAAATATGCGAATATTCACGATTATATTAAACACATAAAGTTGTATTTGGAGGAACTACTTCATAGCGAATTGTGTGCCCGATGGATAAAATTGTAAAATTACAGCCTTCTATTATAAGCGCAGATACCATCTTTTCTGAGTATCTGCACCAATGTTATGTCGTTCATGTTCCATAAGCTCGACAGATTTTGACGATGCCTTTTTTTTATATTGATTTTTTAAAAAAAATTTTCTTTCACGCTAGTCAAAAAAAATTTACAATTTAGCATTGCCGACTCCAGCGCGTCTAACGAAATAACCAGACAAGTTACAACGTCCGTTCTTTTTTGAGTCTCAAGAGCAGAAATGCGTGCTTTGGATGCACTAAATGAGAATTACCATAAATACAAGGATACACCTTAAATTGTACGTTGAAAAGTACCAAAAATTAGGTCGGCCCAGACAGAGCAGCGACTGGGAGCTGAACCCCGACGTGATAAGGCGCCCGGTGGGGAACCCCCCGCGGCAACTAAAATTCCACTGCCGGTGCGCCGTGAATTAATCTTTTGCCATCACTATGTGTTTTCATGCCCTTTAGACAAGACTCAATAAATCAAAGAAGTATCAGGGTTTAAACATTAATTCACACACACACACACGCACGCACACATACGAAAAAAAAATTGTAAAAAAATAATACATAAATTTTAATAATAAATAAATAGATAAATATATACAATTTTACTTTATTTGAGCAGTTACCTTGTCTTTGCAATGTCCACAGGCATAGAGGCAGCAGTTGTAATGAGACCACTGATCATGCTGGCCACAAAGTGCAAGAAGAGGCCGTCAGAGAAATGCCCTGATGAGAGAAGAAAGATACATCCTTGCTTTACCCTTTTGATAAAATGCATTTTGTATTCCCTTGAACTTCAAAATAAAGAAAATTGTGCAGCTCCATGATGCACTACATACATCAGTTTGGCATTGCAGAGGTTAAACCAAATGTCCAAAAGAAATTGAAGACAACTTTCTAGATCTTGGAGGGAAAATTTGTTTTTTTAATACATGGACTAGAATCAACACATCGGTATAATTAATTCTGTACAATAAATTCATATACTCTGAGGCTTTTTTTTGTGAATCAACATTGAAGTCTTGATGATGCCACAGGATTATCCTTCAATGAGACCAAAATGCTCAAATCTAGATAGAACCAAAGTGTACCTTTTACTTGAGACAAGATGATTTTTCTTTCACATTTCATAACTTAACAGATCAGATACAAAATATGCTACTATTACATCACTAGTCAGATAGACAAACAAGGGAATTCTACAGCTGTTATTTATTCTCAGGTTGCAGTTAATCTTTAAGCTGTTGATGTTTGCTGGAGTGCATTATCCTTTCTTAACTATTTCTCCCTGAGCACATATATTGAAAGCCCCTATAGGCCTATTTGTACATATACATACATATATATATATGTATGTATATGTACAAATAGGCCTATAGGGGCTTTCAACTGATATAGTCTTCCAACCAATTAACTTTTAAGGTGGCACCATATTAAAGACGACTTCAACGAGCAAAACTGAGATCATAACTACCATATATAACGTGAGCTGACAGATTAAGAAAAAATGCCCCAGTAAATCAGCAGTATGTAATAATTAGATAGCCATATACCTGTTGATACAAGAATCTGCTTGGCTTGTGAATAGGAGGCCAACTGGGCAGCATTGACTACCATGGCACGGCCCACTGTGGGAATACAGCCCTGTCGAAACACACATATAGAGATACCATTGTTTGCAACAACAAAAAAATGATCATGATAATATATAATTCTAAAAATAACACAATTCTAAAAAGTAAAGAAGTAGAACCCTCCCTCCCCCCTCCCATTTGGCTAACTATAAAATTTTTAAAAAAGAAGAGAGTGGGGTTGAGAACTACACATGAAAGATGGAGAGTATTTAATCCTTTTTACACTTTTATACAAAAACTTTAGGCTAAATCTCTTTGTGGATCTGATAAGGATTGCATAAGAAAGCAAAAAAGCCAAGCTAACAACTGCAACTCAAAATTTTTTGCTTTCAGCAATTTTAAATGCCAAATCATTAGGGTAAATCTAGCATCCCACAAGTTTGTCAGGTCTGACCTTCACTTTCAATGAGTCGACGCTTCGATGAAAGAAAAACTTGCCTAATATTGTAATTTTCAAAAATTAATAACAACACGATCATGCTCAGAACATTAACAACACGATCATGCTCAGAATGTATCAAGAGATGAGCAAAAAGGGAAAAAACCAAAAGTGTCCAAAAGAGCATGCCATAATAGCAGTTTCTTCCCTTTGCTTTGCCTCTGAACCATAAGGTTAACTCACTTGCGACTG